TTTTGCTGCTGTTTCAAGAACCTAGGCACAACTTTAATGAGGACTTAACTGTACTTTTATTTTTAAGCAACATCAAACTTACCGAAAAGTTGCTAGAAGAGTAGAACGAACTCCCCTGCCCAAGCCTCTTTGACAGTGCGCCATACACATGTTGGAGGGCGACCCTAACATGCTGTCTACCAGGCTTGTGCATGGTGAAGTTATTCTTTGTACCTTCACAATTAATAAGAACTTTGTAGAAAAGTACTCTGAGACTTATGAACATTCTTTTTATTTACATATTTATCTTTAGAGGGGAAGAGAAGGAGAGAGGAAGAGAAACATCAATGTATGGTTGCCTCTCATGCGTCCCCTGCTGGGAACTGGCCTGCAACCCAGGCATGTGCCCTGACTGGGAGTCGAACTGCTATCCTCTGGTTCGCAGGCCCGTGCTCAATCCACTGAGCTACACCAGCCAGGGCTGAAAATTCTTTTAATTATTAAACTTTAAATGTATTTATTTTATCTTTATGGACTTATACGTTCCTATTTTATCCAACAGGTTATGATTTGTTACTATCATTATCGATTTTTGGTGTACAAACTGTCTCAGATTTGTCCAGTGGAGCCCTTTCTAGCTGTTTCTGTTATCCTCTTGATGTGTTTTCATTATTCTTTGAGTATTTCTTACTTTTTGGGGCAAGGTATTTCATCTCGTTCTTTCCCTGCAACAAGCCTGAAATCAGCCAAATCTCCATGGAGCCCTGATCCCTTTTATTGGAAAATGGAAGTTAGAAACCAGATCCAAGGGCTTGATTTGATTACACATGATTCTATTGGACTGAGCTCATTGAGGAGGAGAGTAATGTGTCTTTTCGTCTTTGAATGATGACTGCCTAGTCCAGTGGCTGTCATTCATTGTTCAATAGGACTTGGTAAAAAACTAACCAGTCAGTTATTTGGAATTCCTGCCTATGTTCTGGCTTAATCTGTGGAATGGATTAAGGAATGAGTCATGGAGAATAATGTTAACTCTGAAGAAATAATGAAAGTTGGTCTCCCTCATTATCATCAAAACAATTATTATATATCTATGGTTTCCAAAGCCCCACTTAATTTGCCCTCTTTTACCTCTCACTTTCATCCATCTTCAAATGTTTCCATCTTAGTGCAACCCACAGAATACAATTATTTTTTTCTGCTTTTCTTAAAACATTTTAGTTTTCTTTTTACTGATAAAAACACAAACTTCTTTTTTCCTAGGTGATAGATTTCTTGAGGATAAATAACAGGTCTCAGTTTACACACAGCATAGTTCTAGGATGCTTTAGCAGAGAGAAAATACTAATAATATTTTACAGTCTTTGGAACTTGGAGGCTAAAAAATTTATTAAACATGGAAAGATTTAGAAATTCCTTATAAAATACTTTTACATGAAAATTGCAAGGAGCAGAAAAGTATGTATTCTATTATCTTTTTAATTTAAAAATGGCTAATTTAGAATATGTATAGAAAAAGTTGTGAAGGTCATATGACTACCTTTAGCTGCAAGAAAGCCTGGAAAATCAAGCTGTTATAGCTAGAGATACTGCCAGCTGAATAAAGTCAGTCTTCTATAAAGACAGGAGAGCCTGGCCGGTGTGGCTCACTTGACTGGAGCATCATTGTACCATGCACCAAAAGGCTGATGGTTGGATTCCTGGTCAGGGCACGTACTTAGGGTGCAGCTTTAGTCCCCAGTCTAGGTGCATATAGGAGGTAATCTATTGATGTTTCTCTTTCACATTGATGCCTCTCTCAGTCCCCTCCCTTCATCTCTCTAAAAGCAATGAAAAAAATGTCCTTGTGTGAGGATTAAAAAAAGAAAAAACAGGAGAGAATGGATATGGACGATTGCCACTAGTAGAGTTTGCCACAGATTCCTTGAGGAGAAGCAGAATGTATATAGTGGAGGCGCTTGTGGAAAGAAGAAAATGAACTTTAAAAGGCTCCACTGTACTGGTAGGGTATAGGTTCTTCCTTATCCATTATCTGATATGTTTAACATACTTCCTGACAACCTGTTCCTCTTGATTTCTGTATGCTGATGATTCATAAATCTCTTTCTTCAGCTCAGATTTTTCTTCTAAGTTACAGACCCGGATATCTAACTATTGCTAGAGAACTCTACTTGGATATCTCACTGGTACCTCAAATTCTGAACATGTCCAAAAATGAAGTCACCATTTTTCTCTCCTCTATCTTTCTTCTCTTCAAATATCCTCTAGCCTACTGAACAATTTCACCCTGTACCTAGGTGCTCAAGTTATAAACCAGGCCATCATTGACTTTCCCAACTCTTTCTAACTCCCATATCAAAATTTCTGTCCAAGCCCTAAATATGTCCCTTAGGGCTTGTTCCTAATCTGTTCATTTCTCTCCATCCCCAGTGATACTGCCCTAGTTTAGGCCCTATCTTACCTTCATGACTGCAGTGCCTTGTCACTGGCCTTTTCCCTATCAGTCTTGCCTCCCTCTAAATCATTTTCCAGCCAGCAAGACAGGTACATCTTTCTAATACATGGGTGATCATGCTGAATTACTGCAGAAACTTTCATTGTCTTCCCATTGCTCTTAAGATAAAAGTCCAACTGTTGACATGACTTAAAAAGCCAAACTTCATTTTTCCTACTCTTGTTTCACTCATATATTCTAGACATCCTGACTTTCTTCTAGTCCTCAGAATATGAGCTGTGCTGGTTACACTCTTCCACCTTCTCTTAATAATATTTCAGTTTTAATTGATAATACTTCTCTTATAAATGTTTCAGTTACAAAATTAAACACCATTTCCTCCGTGAAAGTCTCTCTGATCTGCATAAATCTAGATTAGGTGGCCTTTCTACATATTGAGGAGGATTTTTTGCAGTCCCCATCACAGAGTTAAAATAGTGCATTTTAATTGCTCACTTATCTCTTCTCACTAGATTGTGATTGCTGTAAGGGCAGGGATCGGGCCTTTCTTGTTCATCATTACAGGTGCAGTTATGGATTTAAGCTGGCAGTCAGACTCTAAGAGGCTCTAATCTAACACTGTTTGCTTAGTTTAGTTTTAAAGTAGAATACAAGGTGGAGTATACAGGAGGTGTCACAATTCATCTCATCAGTTTCTTATGCCCTCTCACCCACATAAGTTGGGTATAGCTGCCAGAGATAAGAGCTAAATGTAGTGGAGGTCATTGTAACACACAGAAGCCACAGACCCTTTTTCCTGCCATCTTTATAGTGGTCGTCCTTTATACTGTTCTCATGCAGGCCCACGCCTCCAACCTCGGTGCAGTCCTTCCCAACCACCAGAGCAGACACAGGACATTCCCCATTGGTTCTAACTGTTGCTTTCAAGTCTGGGAGACTGAGGTCATTCTCAACTAGACAATGAAATGTAAAAATAGTTTTGAATAATAGAAGACATCAAATGGCCAGTAAACATAACATACAATGTTCAACCATAATGTTCAGGGAAATACATATTTAAAACCATGTAGATTGACAGAAATTCCGAAGCCTACCATATTGTGTGTTGGTGAGTATGTGGCACAAAAGCAACCCTTAAGCACATTGGCTGGAGTAAAAATCGGTATAAGCACTTTGGGTAACAGGCTGGCCTTTTTTTTTTTAACAGTAATTTTGATAATAATACATACATCTTCTGACCCAGCAATTACATTCCTAGGTACATACCCTAAATAAATTTGTATAAACATGCAATAGGATATGTGAATACGAATGTTCATAGCAATAAAACTAGAAATAACCTAAGGATGTCCATTACCATAAGAATGGGTAAATAAATTGTGGCATTTTTATCCAGTTAAATAGTGTATAACATCAAAAATGAATGATCTAAGGATACATATACAACATAATTGAATTTTAAAAGACCAAAGACATGTCTATTTACAATATTCTATTGTAAATTCAAATTCAATTAAAATTAAAAAAACAAACTATTTAAGAATGCATATTTAGGAGATAAGTTTTAGTTAGTAAATATGTAGAAATATGTTAGAAAAGCAAGGAAATGTTTATTATAAAAGGCAGGAAAATGGTTTCCTCTGAGGAGGAAGGTAAGAGGGTTTTACTAGGAAGAGACGCCTGGAGCTCTCTGGTGTCAACCAGGATCCTGAACAACACCCTCCCAGCTGTTGTCTTTATACATATTTGTTAAGTGTACATTTAACTCGTATTCTATGCGATGTTTTGTATTTATTTTTCACACATTTAAAAGTTTAATTTTAAAGTTTAATTTTCTCCACTAGGTTCAGTTTTCCAGGTAGTAGTACTTACACAGGGCCCAGTACAGGAGAGAAAAGGGATTAGCCGAGGGAGCCAAGTCTAGGAACATGTGAGAGCACATACATGGAATAAGGAACCCAAATTAGGTTAATTTAAGAAGAAATGGGCACCACGTTCTTTACAGACATGGAATGGGAAAAAGAGAGCAGGGAGAAGATACATTTGTCAATACAAAAACATTTAGAAGAAGAGTTTAAAAGAGTTCATATTTATACTGTTATAAAACGGGAAGTAGAATCATTTGCTGAAAGTGAAGCTAAAGAGAAGGGAAGGGTCTAGGAAGTGTGAAGCAAAATTAAAGTATTTGTTCAGGTTTCAGCAGATATTTATTTATTTTTTTAAATATATTTTATCAATTATGCCATTACAGTTGTTCTATTTCTCCCCTTCATTCCCCTCCACCCTGTACACCCTCTCCCCCACCATCCCCCCCTTTAGTTTATGACCACATGTCTCAAGTTTAAATTGGCATAGAACTTCTGATAATGGTTATACATAAGAAAGCTCTTAATTTTTCCTCAAAGGTTAGCCTGACTATTAATTATATAATTATATCGTTTTTAAAATTCTGTTCTTTAAAGTATAAGGATGTTTACATTTAATCGGGAGGGCTATTTTTGTAGGCAAAATATACTTCATTTGCCAAAGAATAATGATTTTACTAACTCCATTTTTTCTTATTTAGGTCATGTATGGAATGCTGGTCTTCACATTAGTACTTCGATCTATTTATATTGTTACGTGGTAAGTAGTTTGGATAATCAACACTGTGGTTAGAGTATATTCAGGCAGGAAATCTATACCCTAAATTGAAATAATAGATAAAGCTGAAATCCAGAAGGGATATTGATTTAAAACTATAATCCAACATTTATTATAGTATAATTACAAGGAATACTATTCCTTTAAGCAAGTTATTAATAGACATCATGTGAAAACAAGAGTTCCAAAATTAAAGAAATTTGAGGAAAGCTATATATGGTGGCCTCCTTTTGTTTTTAATGTACATTAGTATAGTAAAGGCTTTTAAAAATCTTAGACTAGCCCTGGCTGGTGTGGCTCAGTGGATTGAGAGCCAGCTTGTGAAACAAAGGGTCACTGGTTTGATTCCTGGTCTGGGCACATGCCTGGGTTGTGGGCCAGTTCCCAGCAGGGGACACACGAGAGGCAACCATACATTGATGTTTCTCTCCCTCTCTCCTTCCCTTCCCCTCTAAAGATAAATAAATAAAATCTTAAAAAAAAAAAAGGACCAGTGTTCCAGAAAAATGATTTAGGAAATAGGCATAATCTTTATAGAGTTTATGAAGATTAAATAATGTATTCATTTGAGTACCTTACATAGGGCCTGCCAATACAGTAGGTGTTCAATAAATACTATGATTTATGGGTTTATTCTTTTTTTACTTACTTTTTTATTTTGGAGTAATCGTAGAAGCAAAGCACATGCATTTGTAAGAAATTGGCATCCTTTACTAATTTTCTCCAATAGTAAACATCTTGCAAAACTATAGTACAGTATTACAACCAGAGTTTGACATTGATAGAGTCAGGATACAGAATAATTTTGTCAACACAAGGATCCCTGTGTTGCCCTTTATGGTCAAATCCACTTCCCTCCTACCCATCCCTTCACCCCCTTTTCTTAGCCCCTGGCAACCACTAATCTGTCCTTCATTCTAGTTTGTATTCATTCCAAGAATGTTATGTAAATTGAATCATATAATATATATAACCTTTGGGATTGGTCTTTGCACATAGCATAATTCACTGGAGATTAACATAAGTTGTTGAGTGTGTCAGTAGTTTATACCTTTCTATCGCTGAGCTGTATTCCATGATATGGGTATACCACAGTTAAACCATTCACCTGTTAAATGACACCTCCATTGTTTCCAGTTTTTTACTATAACAAATAAAGCTGCTGTGAATATTTGTTTACATGTTTTCATGTGAATATAAATGTTCATTTCTCTGGAATAAATGTTCAATTTCAGAATGGAGTTGCTAGGTTGTATTGTAATTGTATGTTTAGTTTTTCTCAAAACTGCCAAACTGTTTTCCAGAGTGGCTCTCTGATTTTCCAGTCCCGACAGCAGTGTGTGGGTGGCCCAGTTTCTCTTCATCCTTGCCAACATTTGGTGTTGTTGCTGTTTTTTATTTTAATCATTCTTAAGTGTATGTGCTGATATTTCATTGTGCTGTTTATTCTCATTTTCCTAATTTCTAATTATGTCAAAACATATTTTTAGTGCTTATTTGCCATCTGTATATCCTCATTGAGGAAATGTCTGTTTGTGTCTTTACCCATTTTCTAATAGGATTGTTTCTGTCTTTTTTTCCCCCAGTTTCATTTTGAGTGTTCTTTATATATGTTAAATGGGATTATGAAAGCTGAAGCCAAAAGAAATCAGGAGAAGTGGGAAAAGGGAGTAAAGAAAAGTCAAACAGATGTAAAGCAGAAAATAAAGGAGTACAAATAATTCTAATTATATCAGTAATCACAGTAAATATCAATGGACAAAGCTAAGCAATTAAAAAGATAAAAACTGTTAAACAGGAAAATGTTCAGCAATGTGCTATTCATAAGACACATGGTTAAAACATAGACAGTAAGTTTAAAAGAAAAGGATATTAAAAATATACTACACAAATACTGACTAGCCATTTTAATAAAAGACAAAAATCTTTAAGACATTTAAAACATGTGTTCGCTGTATTATTAAATCTTGTTTACTAGAAAAGTGGAAATCTTAAATTTGTGTGAAAATTTTTAAGAAAAATTTGACACAGAGAGAAATAAATGCTCCATTATGCTGAGATATTTTAACACAGTAACTCATAATAAAAAAAATATAAACAAGCCGTGGCTGGTGTGGCTCAGTGGATTGAGCGCCAGCCTTCAAACTGGAGGGTCGCTGGTTTGGTGCACAGTCCTGGGTTGCAAGCCAGGTTCCTGGTGGGGGGTAAGTGAGAAGCAGCCACACATAAATGTTTCTAAGTATCTTTCATAACATGTTTTCTGACTGTCATACAATTACTTAAAACAGGATTAGTCAAAATAGCCCATATATTTGGAAACTTAAAATAACACTTTCAATGGGAGTAAAAAATCATAATACAGATATTGAAATGCTTAGAATGGAACCATAATGAAAATACTACACAATCAAAGTAGGATGTAGCTAAAGTGGTTCTTGGAGGGAAATTTATAGCCTTAGTTGTTTACATTAGAAACAAAGACGCTCAAGAATAATGAACTAAGCTTCCAACTTAAATAATTAGAAAATAGGTCAACAGAAGAAATCCAAAGAGAAATAAAGAATGGGGCCAATAAAGGCAGAAGCTGGAAAGTAAATGAATTACTGCTGACTACCTTCACTAACCTAAGAAAGCCAATCCCAAGCCAAGAACCCCCAATGTCATCAGAGGATTTTCACAGGTATCAGGCATTAACAGCAATAAGCAGTTCAGAAAAGGAGATGGAGCAGAGATCTACAATAAAGAGGACTGGTTAAAAGCTTTAAGAAATCGTTGAATGACTAGGTCTCCTCACCCACTCAGTGTCACTGAGCACCTGCTAAAGTCTGGCGGTTTATTCTCTGGAAAGGGCGAGCGGTGTCTCAATTAGACTTTACCAGGCACAACTGAGCCTGTGAAAACCATACTGAAATAAGGGAAACTGGGTGACCTTATGCATTCTGAATGCTGAATGCCAAGGTCTGAATGCAGAAAATTGGAAGAGTTCTTATTTTAGGGAATGTGAGCATCCTGGAAGACCTAAAGGTACTAACTGTGGGCTCAGCAAAATAACTCAGTAGTCAAGAATATTAGTCTAAAGTCCTCAACCATATGCTTAAAGCTCGTTGTCACCATTTTAGTTTCCCACTCTTAGGGATGAAGAAACAGTGTCAGATATAAAATAAATACATCCAATATGAAAGATAGAGGCCAAAATACATAATGAGGAAAAGTCAATATAGAGGAAACAACTTATGCACGAAGGAAATAAAACTTTAAAAATTATAGAACAAGAACAAATATTCATTAATATTGCTAGAAATATATTGTATCAAGAGTAAGATGCTATAAAAAAGGAACATTCAGATAATCCCTCCCCAAAAATATTAAAAATATAAAACAAGAAACTGTAGTGAAGGGTTTGAAACGTACAACTAAAGAAGCCATTGGAATCTTTTTCTGAACGCATTGTGAATGCATTACAGTCCATCATCCCCTCCCACATTTAGCAGCCCTGCTCACCCCCATTACTCCCATCACCCCATTTACCAGCAAGCACCCACCCACAGGACAGGCATTAAAACCATGGTACAGGCCGGAGTAAACAGGACAGAGCAAGACTTCAGGACCCTTGGGTTCAATCTGCCAGTGCTGTAGAGAGACAGCAAGGTGTTTCCTCAAGTCCATGGGCTTCACTGTGGAAAGGACAGAAGCGAAGACAGAGAGAGACAAACACACATACCCTGGGGGCCATCAGTGTGATGAGAAAGAAATGAAGAATAGAAGAAACTGGAAATAATCCTGGGCCAGAATAGAAGTAGAAACAAAAGGGGAAGGGTAGCTGCAGAGAATGTAGAAGGGATGAAAATGTCACCCAAATAAATCAAGAAGATATTCTGTAACTGTAAGATATAAGTATATTGAAAGAACCCTTTGGCTCTTCAGCAGAGATAATGGTGAAAGTATACCCATTTCAGTCTCAGAATTCTAGACAAGGAAGGTTTCATAAGTTTATACAGTTAGAAGGTATATATACATACAAAGGGTCCAGGAATCAGAATGACTTTGGACTTCCCAAAGCAAAACTGGAAGCTAGAATTACAGAATTCTGTAGCCAGCCAAAATATTAATGAAATGTGGGGACAAAATACATTTTCATGCATTCAAATTTTCAAAAAAGTATATCCCATAAACTATTGCTCAGGAACTTTGAGCAAAGTAAGAGAATAAACCAGGAAAGAGGAAGACATAGTATATAAGAGAAAATTCAACGTAGAGATAGGTAAAGCCAATTTCCAAGGTGAAAATGAGGGGAAAGGATTTGGCAGGGGTTAGGTACACATTAGGCCAGCAGCCAGTCAAGAACGAAGCAGTGTAACTCCAGACAGATACATTGAGAGCCTTTTGTATTATACACTCATACCTGGTAATATATGGGCAGTCTATCCCCAGAATCATATCTATACTTAGCTTGCATGAACCATGTGCTGATGAAGTTCTTGCTCTCTCCTGCGTACCCTGCTGCCCAGACACGCATTTCACATCACAGAAGAATTTTGCTTTGAACTACTGCTGAGAGCTGAAGATTGGCCCTGGTAAGTAAGCTTAGAAGCAGAATAGTATCCAGCTCTTACTGATCATACCGCTGTCACATCTCAGCACTGGTCCACACTGCAGCCCTGCCAGATGCCTTCAGTTTTATGCCTTACGTTTCCTGGAACGCATTCTTGCCTCCCCGGAATGGAGCTATAATGAGCCCTCTGAAACAAGCTGAAGACAGATTATGATTCTCTTAACCTCACGCTCTGTGAGAACCTTCATCAGACAGTCAGACTTGTGCTTTCCTGATGATTTTTAATTACCTTTTTCATTCATTTACATACAAATATTATTAAAATATTTGAGAAAATTTATCCTTGTAATTCATATTAAAAAAAGCTACATAACAATATATTTAGAAAAACCATTTTTATAATTCAACAGCTATTTATGATCTAAAACTAAAAATAAAACCCTTTACACACTTCATAATAGAAGAGAACTTTGTAATCTGTAAACTCTATAGCATCTAACTCCTTTTAGTCATTGTATGTTAAAAAAAAACCTCTTTAAAATCATGAATAAAACAAGGATATATATATTATTACCACTACTGGTCAACACTATACTGGTAAGAGTCCCATCCAACATAGTATTTGCAAATGACATGATCATGTACAAGAAATATAACAGCACATGTACCAAAAGACTAGAAGCAATAAGTGGGATTCAGCAGGATCACAAGATTCAAGTCAACACTCACAACTCATATTTTTATGTACTAGCATCAAATGTCAGATGTTTTGGGGTTAAATTTAGCAACTATGTGCAAACCTGTACATTGAAAATTATGAACATAGGGTTTGGGTTTTTTATTTTTGCTGAGAAATTAAATAAGAGCTAGATAAATGAAGAGATGTATCATTTAATGGATAGAAAACTCAATATTGCTAAGATATGAGCTCTTCCCAAATTAATGTATAAGTTCAACACAGTCACAAAATCTCTGCAGGATTTTGGGGAAAAATTGAGAAACTGATTCTGAAATTTACATGAGAAGGCAAAGGATCTAGAATAGCCAAAACAGTTTTGAAAAAGAACAATAAAGTTAGAGAATTTATACCACTTGTTTTACTCAGTGCTACATTAAGACAATGTGGTATTGCTGGTAAGAATGAAATGATAGATCAATGGAACATCCAAAAATAGAGCCATTCAGAAATAGACTGACACATCCATACTGACTGGATTTTAAATAAGCATTCTAAGGTAATTCTGTGGGGGAAAGATAATCTTTTCAAATTGTGCTGAATAGCTTGATATTCTTATTTTAAAATGAACTTATACTCACATCATTACAAAAATTTATTAGAAGTGGCTTTGGCTGGTGTGGTTCAGTGGATCTAGGCACTGACCTACAAACCAAAGGTCACCAGTTTGATTCTCAGTCAGGGCACATGCCCGGGTTGTGGTCCAGGACCCCATTTGGGAGCATGCGAGAGGCAACCAATCAATATATCTCTCGCACATTGAAGTTTCTGTCCCTGTCTGTTTCCCTCCCTTCCCGTCTCTCTAAAAGTTAAAAAAAAATTCTAGAAGTGATTCATATTCCTAAATATAAAAGCTAAAATTATAAAATTTCTAGAAGAAAATATAGAAGTCTTTGTAGGCTTGGTTAAGCAAAGAGTTATTAAATAGGACACAAAAAGGCTAACAATAATGAAAATGTTAAACTGAACTTCGTTAAAACAGCAAACTTTTGTTCTTCAAAAGATAAGAAAATGGCAGGAAAGTCACAGAGTTGGAGAAAATATTTGCAAAATATATATCCAACAAGAGGTTTATATTTAGAATATATAAAGAACTCTTACAATGAAGTAATAAGGCAAACAATTTTTTTAAATGGGCAAAGATAGAACAAACTTTCAAAGATTTATGGACGTCAAATTAGCACAGGAAATGATGCTCAATTATAATACTCATTAAGGAAATGCAAATTGGGACCACCGTGAGACAACACCACACACCTGCTAGAACAACTAAAAAGACTGGTGTCATACGAGGATATAGAAGAACAAACACTCATTCACAGCCGGTGGGGGTGTAAAATGATACAGTCACTTAGGAAAACAGTTCAGTGGTGTCTTGGGGAGTTTAATATTCACCAGCTTTACAAGCCATCCATTGCTCTCCTAGCTTTTTACCCAAGAGAAATGAAAGCATATGTCCATAAAAAGACTTATTTATGAATGGTCATAGCAGCTTTATTTGTTATAGTAAAAAAAACTAGAACCAACACAGATGTCCACCAATATTTGGATAGACAAATAAATTATGGTATATCTATACAGTAGAGTACTACTCAGTAATGAAAGGAATTGAAGTACTGATACATGTAGTTACATGGATGAATTTCAAAATAATTACACCAAGTAGAAAAAACCACACAATAAAGCAGATATACTTTATTACAGTTTATGCCACATTGTAAAAGAAATGCAAACTCAGCTTTTGAAAGTGTTGGATATATTCATCATCTTGAGCTTGATGTTGGTTTCCCGGGAACATATGGGTGTACTCATCAAACGTGCACTTTAAATGTGTGCACTTTAATGTAAGTCAATGGAACCTCATTGCAACTATAAAATATATAAATATGTATACTACTGTTAATATTTTGGTTAACTCACTAAGCTTCAGTTTTCTCGTCAGTGAAATGAAAAGAGTAATACCTGCCTCTCAGGATTTATTTGAAGATTTTACGTGTGTGTTTGTGTGTAACGTGTGTCTAATTTACCAGTGCCTGACACAGAACAGGTGACTCAGTGTTAATTCTGTTTCATCCCTCCCCTTGCACTTCAGTGGGACTGGAAGTTATCAGGGACTTTCAGATTTCCTCCTTGATACACCTGGCCAAGTCTTAGAGGCATATCCTCTGTCCATACCTTTTAATGGCTAAATGTAATAGCCAGCTGTATTAGAGAATTTAATAGGTTTGCATCTAATACTAACAGAAACCTTTCTTTTCTCATGAAAGGGATGACTTCAAGCTTTGGTCATGACATGAGCTGACAAAATTTCCTTGTGCTTTTTTATTTTCTCATAGGGTTTATCCATGGCTTAGAGGACTGGGTTATACATCCTTGGGTATATTTTTACTGGGATTTTTATTATGGAACATAGATAACATCTTTTGTGATTCACTAAGGTAAGATATATTTTCAATCTTTGAGAAATATTTTTGGGAGCAATCTATTAAGCAGAGTTTCATAGGCATATAGAATTGTTAGTGCCCTGGAGTGAATTTTTGCCATTGTTGAAATTAAAAAGATATGTACAATACAATAAAGTTAAATTCTGGGACGACTTGTTTAAATTAAAAATTTAGACCTAAGAATATTTTGTAACATCTGTAGGGATTTTTAATTAAATATTGACTGGGTCTTTGAAATCTGCCCAGTTTGCTTTACTGAAGAAATTGGAATGCTTTGAAATAAGGATATGAAATACCTTTATATAATTTTGTACTTTAATATGCTTAATGTTATTTTCTAAGAAGGGCACATGTGTCTTTTGTTTCATCTTGTCAGCAATTGTGTATTGACTGGAGTTTGAACCTTGGGTCTCTGGACTGTAGTTTGTTACTAAAGCGTTATCTTTCTGGGCTGCAATTTCTATTACAATGAACATGTAAAATAAATTAAAATAGTGGGTCCTTCCAACTCAAAATTCTGTGAATTAATGGTTTTGCATAAACACAGGGGACAGAGGGATATATTGAGCAGCACCATGGAGAAGCGATCAACAAAGTTCAGACAGTGGGAAATCTGCAGGATGAATGACCTGGTCTCTTCAGCAAATAAATTGCAGAGGGGAGAAAAAAGGAGAAGGAACATGTAGATTAAAAGACACTTAAGAGATATCTCAACCCAATGTACTGTGTAGACCTTTTTTGGATTTTGATTCAAACAAACTGTAAAAAAAAATTGAGCCCTGGCTGTTGTGGCTCAATGGATCGAGCACCTGGCCTGCAAAACAAAAGGTCACCAGTTTGATTCCCGGGCAGGACACATAGCTGGGTCGTGGACCGGGTCCCCTGGTTGGGGGTGTGCGAGAGGCAATAGATCGATACTGCTCTCGCCTATCTATGTTTCTGTCCCTCTTTGTCCCTCCCTTCTCCTCTTTCTAAAAGTAAATAAATGAAATATTTTTTTTAAAAGTTGAAATGAGTTAGCAATGATGTTTTTAAAAAGTTTGAGATGATTAGGATTTTGATAGTTGAGTATGTAGTGATGTTAAGATATTATTAATATTTTAGATATGAAAATGGTATTATCATCATTTTTTAAAGTGGTTTTAATCATTAAGAGATACATACTAAAATATTTAGAGATAAATGACACAATATCTGGGATTTGCTTCAAAATAATACAGGGTGATGGGGAGAAGTGGCCAAGAATTTAGATGATACAATATTGGCCGTAAGTTATCATTGTTGAAGCTGGGTAATGGGTACATTATTATTTTGCCTGCTTTTGCACATTTGAAATTCTTCATAATACAAAGTTAGATAAGTAAATGTAGACTTTAATGTACATAAGCAAACAAGTAGCACAGCTTGCTTAGAAAACTGAAATCTAATTGAGTGGTTCTGAATTGGTAATACCCATCAGAAACTCCTCCAGAGCTTTTACACCGCGAGGTAAGTCAGTCATCATCCTCTGGGCGAGAGCCACTATGGAACAAAGTAGGTTCTTAGAGATGGTAATTGTCTCAAAAATTCCCGGGGGTATCTGGAAAAATAACTTAGTGTTTCACATTGATTTCTCCTAATAAATGAGAATATTAATGTGGTATACACTTAATCAAAAGACCTAGAATTTTAGGCTTGGCTGTACCACTAGCAGAGTGACTTGAACAATTCAATGAATTTTTCTGAATTTTAGGCTCTTAATCTGTAAGGCAAAGCTAATAATAGCCACCTCAGAAATTCACTGTGAAGTACAATAATAGATACAACAGGACCTTATGGTCTGTGTGGTGCACTTCTAAGAGAAAGGTTGTATGCAGGACATGGGGAAGGCATATGACTGGTTCCTTAACTGCATGAATGGCTAAGTAGACCAGTGGTTCCTGAAGTGTGCTCCAGGACACGTTTGTTCCATACGGTGTGAATAAGATAATACCTAAATGACGGGTCCCATGGATAAGTAGGTTACCTAGGTGGGGGGGAGTGGAGATAAACTGTATTAGTTATTGGTAGGATGTTTCAAAGTTTTTAATCTGTTAATATGCATCACAGATCTCCAAGAACACAATAAACTCTGTACTATTTCCCACATTTATTTTACCACAGAGTCATTTCTTCATGGAACTTTTGCTAGGAATACTATTCCTCAGAATACACTCTGGAAAACAATACAGCAGACTACAGCAGACTTGAAGAAATTAAATAATTGCTATATTTGAGAACGGTATTTCAGAATGCCCTAAGACTGTCAGCATTAGTTAGTAAATATCTAAAACAATTTAAATGGTGATTTTTCTCCCTCTCTCCTCACAGGGACTTTCGAAAGAAGGCACCACCTATTATAGGTGTTACCACCCAGTTTCACGCATGGTGGCATATTTTAACTGGCCTTGGTTCTTACCTTCACATCCTTTTCAGGTAGGAGATAGACTCTTTAGCCCTATTATTTGAATGAGGGGTTTTTTTTGTTTGTTTTGTATTGTTCTTTATATTCTTCAAATAGGATCTTGGAGACAGAATCACGAACTTATGTTCCAGCTTTGCCCCGGCCACTGGGTGACCTTACCCAAGTCCCTTCCCTCTGACACATGATCTGCATCTTAACCCAAGTAGGATATAAATATTTCCATTTCTTACTGATTAGCATTAAAGAAGAAACTTAGGGAGAAAAGAAAAGCCCTCAGATCCCTTGAGTAGAGGCCTGGATAAGTCCCCTGCTTAATTTGTCTCCCTCCCTGAAATAAGTTGGTTGCCACTTTTCTTTCCCTGCTCCCCAGTGAAGAGTCTATTGGAGGTCAGCCACTAACAGCAAAAATGGAATCAGAATTCTCTCTGGTCACCCTATCCAAACAGTACTTCCATGTCGCCCTTTCCCCTTATCAGGCCGTATTGTTCTTTTTTTTCCCCTGAAGATTTTATTTATTTATTTTTAGAAAGGGGGAGAGGTAAGGAAAGAAAGGGAGAGAGACATCGATGTGTGAGAGGTACATCAGTCGGTTGCCTCTCACACGCCCCTACCTGGGGACCTGGCCTGCACCCCAGGCATGTCCCTTGCCTGACTGGGAATTGAACCAGAGACCTTTCAGTTTGCAGGCCGGCACTCAATCCACTGAGCCACACTAGCCTGGGTCGTATTTTTCTTTAAAGTATTTATAACCAGTTATACATTTATTGAATTGTTTATCTCCCCCAACTGGACTATAAGTTTCTTGAGAGCCACTGGGACTTTATCTCACTCACTGCTGCACTCCCAAATGTGTAGAACAATGCCTGTCATGTAGTGAGCACTTTGTATGTATTGTTAAATGATTGAATGAGTGAATATATACATATTGATCTCTTTACCAGGAAATCAGGTTGTTTAATCTCAAATTCTCAAAAATAGAGAGCTGAAATATTTGCAGAAAGGGGAAGAAATTATTTCTTCGAACCAATGTGAAAATGTACTTAAACAGCCTGGCTGATTTTATCAGTTAATTGATAAAACTGATTCATCTATATTACTATTGATATGATCACTCAGTTTGCATTCCCTAATTGATTTCATAATCTAGATTAAGAAATATTTAACTCAGACCACACAGGGACATAATCTTGATAAGATCATGGAATGAAAAGATGGTGTGGTTCTAATTTAAGTGAAATTTTTAGAACACCTCTGCAAAGTAACATTTGCATCTCACCTATCTGGAGATAACTAGTTTAGGCAACCTGAATTATCTAAAATTTAACTACCCAAGGATTATATAAACAAAACATCTGTGCAGCTCAATAGGACTCACCGAATTCACGGTGTGAACAGCTCAAGGTTATTGATCATGAAAGAGCTCTTTCAACTCTGGCTCTAAACATGTTTATTTCACTTTTTGCAACTTCTTACTGCATTGGTTATTTGGATTCTCAACCCATTGCATATGAGAAATATCTGATTTAAAGGGGGAAGGATATGAGAGAAAATGCTTGTGGAAATTGACAGGATAGAAAAGCAGAAATAAGAATAACTGTAAATAAAACCCAGAAATTAAAAACCTAGCACCTTTACACTGTCCAAGAAGTCCCAAGGGCATTATCACAGTATAATGCAGTACAATCTATAATGAATACTCAAGAAGAGGTGAAATTATACTCATTATATTCTGTTTTAGAAGACTAGAGTTTCCCACTTTCCCCTTTCCTTTTCCACTTCTCCTTCCCAACTTCCTTTCACTTTTCCCTCCTGTTGCGGAAACCCTTCAAGGAAGCACTGAGGTGAAGAAGTGTTGTGCAGACACAGTAGTGTTCAATGTCCAGGGAACAAGGAACAAGGAGAAGGGGTCAGTGGTAGCAGCATGCTGACCTGCCAGGAAAATTTAGTGGTGATGGGGAAGGGGCCGCTGCGTGGGGCAAGGAAGCAGGGTGCCGAGCAGAAGGTGTGTCGAGGAGGTGGCTGGAGATGGGAAATAAATTAATTTAATAATAAGTGAATATATTGAGGATGACAAAAGCCTGTTTTCTCCAGTCTCAGAAGGGACTTAAAAATATGAAAGAGAAAAAGCTAGAAGGAACTCTGAGGGTGTAGATTAGAATTTAAAGTATTGGTATAAACTAATGAATGTATGACACATATACACATAATTGTTATTATTTATTAATGTATTATTGTCCATTTGAACAACTGTGAACCTCCTTTTGTTCCACCCTGTGTGTGTGTATATATAGGTGTCTGTGTGTGTGTGTGTGTGTGTGTACACTTAGATATAGAAAAAGTTAGGTGTATATCTGTTGTATGTATTATAAATGTGTATGTATACCTGTGTTTACACATGCATATACTACCTCACTGTGTCCTCTATGAAAGCTGAAAGCAAACTTTGGCCCATTGGCCAAAAACTAAGATAATTTGAGTATCAGAATTAAGTAGCAAGAGTTTCTAATTACAACCTATTGAATAAAATGGAATCCATGAGTGTATACTAATATAAATAGATGAGTGAAAAATGAGGAGAAGCAAAACTCTTCCTTAAAGAAGAATGCCAACTCATAAATGTAGAAGGAACAATGGAAAAAGATAATCACCGTTTGGCAGCCATTGTAGGGGTAGCTGATAGGCATTAGTTATCAACGATGCTCTGGCTGGTAGGTGGAAGTTTGATGAGGAACACATATTGGCGTAATTCAGAATGTCTCCCCATGACATACTAATACAAAAGGGAAAACAGTGACTTTACAATGAAGAAAACTGGCAGCAAGCAACTTGACCATGTGTTTGAGGTTAACATTGCCTGTGATGGAGCAGGTGATATAGTAATGAACTGATTAATGCGCTGGGATGAGCTCAGCATCATTTCTGTAGTGTTCCTGCCAGAAGTGCATGGCCTGGGTCTGGACATGAGGAAACATTAACAGACGTGGATTGAAGGTTCTTCTGCAGAATGAAAGTTCTATACTCTTTTAAGACCATGGAGTACATGAGTGACAACAAATGACTTCTAAAGACATGACCTGAAAGCTAAGTGCAATGCATGTTTCTGGTTAGGAACCTGGATCAAAAAGAAAAAAGAGAAATTGTTGAGATAGCAGAATTTGAATGAAGTCTTGACTTGGATAGTAGTATTGTGTTAATGTCAATATCCTGATTGGAACAGTTGTACTGTGGTAATTTAGCAGTTTCCTTGTTTTGTGGTGATGTTTAGGGATGTTTAGGGATGATGGGCATCAGGTCACACAAAGGCTCTCTGAGGTATAGATACACATATATACATGTGTATTTGTGTTTGTGTGTATGAAACAAATGTAGCTAAGTGATAACAATTGGGGATCTTGCAGAAGAGGATACAGGAATTCTTCATACCAATTATGCAGCTTTCCTGTAAGTTTGAAACTATTTTTAAATTTTAAAAAGGTGGGGGATAAGGCCAGGCCTCCAGATCATTCTTTTTAGGCATTTGTAGTAAAAAAAAGCAAATAGAAAAATGATCATCTAACTGGTGATAGGATTTTTTTATATCCATACAGTATTTTGAAGTTCCCTTGGATATGCTTTAGTTACAGTACAAATGGTATGATCACGCATTACTTGTCAGTGTAAATTAATGCAACCTGTTTGGACAGAAATTTGACACTACATGCATAAATGAAAATAAAATGTTTATATTTTTATCCCAGTTAATATAATTCTCAGAATTTATCCTAAAGAAATAACCCAGAATGATGAACATGTGTGTGTAAACACAAAAGAAATTGTCACAATGTTATTTAACAAAACAATAACAATAGTAGCCATGGCTGGTGTAGCTTGGTGGAGTGAGCATCAGCTTGTGAACTGAAAGGTTGCTGGTTCCATTCCCAGGCAGGGCGCATGCCCGAGTTGCGGGCTGGGTCCCCAGTCTGGGGCGTCTGAGAGGTAACCATTTGATGTTTCTCTCCCTCTCTTTCTCCCTCCCTTCCCCTCTCTCTAAAAATAAAATAAAATCTTTTTAAAACTAAAAAAAAATAATAATAACAATAGAAGAAAAATAAAAGAAACTACCCAATAGTGCAAAATCATAAACTATAGTATGTCCTTTACTCAGCTATTTAAAATTATAAATATAAAAAATGTATAGCAACATAGAAAGATATTTTCATTTTTAAGTGAAACAAATGAAAATTATATATGTAATATTTAAATCTGTGTAAACATTAATTTTACATGTTGACAATAGTTAAAGTAAATGCAGAAAATTGAAGCATTTTGATTAGATTTGGGAGCAGGGTTTTGAATTAATTTTTTTCTTTGTTTTCTATTAACATTAAAGTGTTTTTACTGTGACTTTTAAAGGAGGAAGGAAAGAATAGAATATATTCCATCCTAAATAACTAACCTAAAAAATGGACATTAAATGTTAGTTATATAGAAATTTTGATTCTATGGGTACATGGAATGGAGCATGTGAATAATAATATTTACTTCAAAGGGATGATTTGATAATAGTATAATACATGTGCCCTTTAAGACTTAGCCCTCAATCCTGGCTGGTGTGGTTCAATGGATCAAGCACCTGCCTCTGAACCAAAGGGTTGCCAGTTTGATTCCCATTCAGGGCACATGCCTGGGTTGCAGGCCAGGTCAGGTCTCCCACTAGGGGGTGCATGAGAGGCAACCACATGTTGATGTTTCTTTCCCTATCTTTCTCCCTCCCTTCCCCTCTGACTAAAATAACTAAATAAAATCTTTTTAAAAAAGACTGTACAAATGTTTGTTTCAGACAGTTAACACAGTAGAATAAAAATATGAGTTCAGATCTTTGCTCCATCACTTCATAATTGTGTAACAGTCTTGAACTAACTGTGTTATTTATTTGGCTCTAAGCCTCAATTTACTGATTAAATAAGAATAATACTGCTTACTCCATAGATTATTCAGATGATTATATTGAATAGGAATTCTTCTTGCAGTA